GAAATCATAGATGATTGGCATGTTTATGAAGTGGATATTTTGCACCTGAAAATGAAGCAATTCCTTGCTTCACACATCTTTGAGCTCATCTGTGAGGTTGACTATAAAAATCATTCTATTCCAGATGTAAGTTCACACATCTGCCAATTTTTTGCATCCTGTCAAAAATCAGATTGCAGAAATCATCATGTGGTTCCAACACCATTAATTCTACATCAACGCTTGAAACTTGCAAGTCTTAATTATACTGTTGTTCGACAGTTGGATGTAATATATGATCATCATGAGCTACTTAGAGAAGATCAGAGTGCAAAGGTTCTTGGAATACAAAGAAGATGGGCTGAAAGACTTGTTAAATTTCATATTCGTTATCAATCACCACAAATAAGCTGCCCAGAAATAACTCAAATGATACTCTCAGAGCTTCCTAAACACACACGTTCTGGACTTATCCAGCTTGCTCAAAATACATGGTTGTTTAGAGAATGTGTGAATGCTGACAACTTTGCAGTTATGTTAAAATGCATGTTTATTTTGCAACAGCTGAGAGACAAATGGTCTGTTGATAAATTTAATTGGGAAATGTCAAAAACAATAGGGCTTTCCTATTCTTGTGAATTACCCATTGGTTTTGAGGACTATGGGTATCACCAAGCAATTCCAGTTGGAAGGCGACTTTCATTATTCTTTGATAATCTCTATAAAAACAGAATTTGTTATGCAATTTCACATGCAAAAGTGTTTATTCAATATGCTATAAACTACACTCAACAAGTCCAATTGGATAGCTCTGATGCCTTTGGTGATCTTGTATCTCTCATGGAGTTTACAGCATCATTGATTTTTGCAGCTAGTCCTAAATATTGTGATTTTTGTCTCCCTCAAGCATATCTTGTTAATTATTTTAAAGCATTTACTTTGAAACCACTCACTATGGATAGGCAATATGCTTATGACAGAGAAAACTATCTAGCTGCAATTAATGATTCTTTCAATCAAGTTGAGCAGTTTCTTTTGGAAAAGGAATGTGACTCAAAGATTACCCTTCGACTGATACGGCTCTTGGTCCTCATTGGCTTGAATGAATCTACTCTTGCACCAAAGATTTTCAATCTTTTCAACTACTTGAACAATGAAATCTCTTATCCTAAGGTGGTCAAGAAATATATAGCTGAAGTCTATACAAAAAGTTAAATATTTAAATAATTTTTTAAAATGATATGCATACAGCTATATAGCATGCACAAATAGATAATATATAACACTGTTTTCTTAACATTTAGATGGCTCTGTATCAAACTCACTTTATCGCCTTGTGAAAATTTTGAATGATGACTTGAAGGAGAATGGCTTTGATTCTCTGGTTATTGTCTATTATGATTTGAGAGGCATCTCAAAATTTCACAGTTTTGAGTCACATGGTATTGTGAAGCTTAAATACACTTCTAATGAGGAATTCCATTCTGCTCTTCAACAAATCATATTACCAATAGCTGCCAACTCAATGCCTTTCACTACTGTTAATGAAGATGATAATGAAGATGAAGACAATGAACAGTTTGAAGTTTCTGATGAGACCCAAGAGCTGGTTACTGAAACCCAAACATGGTTTCAGCAGATCCACAATTCTCCCCATGCCAATGAAGCTGCCACAAAAATCCAAACCTGGATTCATAAGACTCTTGATCAAAAGAAATCCCGACAACTTCATTGTGATCGATTGCTAGAAAAGACTTATAATGAAGTAACAATTTTTTGCCAGAATTCATTGAGACATAAAAGGCACAAGTATGTTATTCTCTTGAGAGGGCCAACAGTAGATGTGATTGTGAAGCTTAATAAGCTGCAGAGCAAAATGGATGTAACCAAAGGAAAATTGAACAAAACAACCAATAATCGTTCTGTTGATATGGACAAAGTTGAAGAATGTGTTGAGCTACTGGAAGATCTTAAGTAATGTTGACACCATTTTAATGCTTCTTTAATGATTTCTTTTCTATTATTAAAATTTGTGATTTTAGGTACATCCATTATGAGAATGTTAAGCTAACATTGGGCTCATTGTCAACAACTGAGAATGTAATGGAACACATGCAAGAAAACATTGAATGGTTGGAAAGTAAATTACAAGAGGCACATGATATAATTAACCAGGTTCATAGATGGCTTGATAAGTGCAAGTATGTAATGAAATCTGGGTGATTATAAATTTTAATTGGTTTCTATTTTTCTTTTATTTTTCGGAATTTATAAATATTAGTATAGCAGATAAGGTAAATTTTTATTAATTGGTATACTTTCAGTAAAGGCACAGGTGTAAATTAGGTCCTTTGTAATAAATATTTAGAGTATCAAATTTTATTAGAAATAAAAAATGGTTGAAATTCAGTTACTTTTTTTGTGTTAAAAAAAATCATCATAATGAAAGTGTCAATATTGTTTAATTCATGTCATATGTTGAATATTTTTTGAACTGATTGATTGGCAAAACATGAATTCATATAAGGATTTTTATTATTCTCATCCTAAGTTTTGGATACATGGGATAATGACAATTATAATATTAATCAGAACTAATTTATATATTTCTAAAGATATGGGTATAACCTGGGTTTGAGTAAAATTGAAAATCTTGGGTATGGGTTCAATTAT